GGCGGACTCGAACCCGCATCTTCTGCTTACCGGGCAGTTGCGTTACCACTTACGCTACCGGGGCCACTTTTGACCTCTCAGCTCAATGGCTATTTGTGCCATTGCCTTCGAGCACTCACACGTTCAACGTGATGAGCCGGTGGGTAGCCGATTCATCGGCAGTGACCGCAATGGCTGAAGGCTTTTTTTTTAGCAAGCTTTTTAGACTGTTTTTATTTGATAACTGCTGTTTTTACCCCCCCCCCCCCCCCCCCCCCCCCCCCCCCCCCCCCCCCCCCCCCCCCCCCCCCCCCCCCCCCCCCCCCCCCCCCCCCCCCCCCCCCCCCCCCCCCCCCCCCCCCCCCCCCCCCCCCCCCCCCCCCCCCCCCCCCCCCCCCCCCCCCCCCCCCCCCCCCCCCCCCCCCCCCCCCCCCCCCCCCCCCCCCCCCCCCCCCCCCCCCCGATCGAAAGACTATGTAGCGCCGCTGCGGCGTAAAACACATTATCAGATAAAAACAGTCTAAAAGATAGAACTCTATCCCTTCTATGACGTCATCTCTCTGTTTTTCAACTGCACTCTCACGTCTGCATGGCATTTTGTTACCACTGTGAACTTTTACGTTTCAAGTTCATCATCTCACCGGCTTCCGACGTGTCTTTCTGTAGCTTTCGATGCATGGACGACCGCAGTTCTTTGTTTCATGGCACTCTGGCCTTTCGTAGCAGGACCCTCACTGAAAGTTTTAGTTGCCACGTAACCGTTAGACTCAGCATATCGTGGACTGAACCTTCAAAGACGTCATTCCCTTTTGTCTAGTGCGCCTTGACTACATTTTTTGTTTTCATGCTTTGCGTATTATTTGAAATCAACCATCAAACGAGAGTGCCTTTACTTCAGATGTTTTTAGTGTGAAGTACGTTGCAAGGACGCCAGAGGCATCTGGTCTGTGACTGTCCACACCCACTTATGGTGGTAGACTCCTACTGATAAAGGCTCCCGCAGAAAGGCGGCTTCATTCCCTCGTGCACCTTCTCCGCCTTTGTTGTCTGTTCTATCGCTAGCGTGACCAGTGTTTGTTGTTTTGCAGTGCGCTCATCAGCGGCTCAGCGGCCTAGACTGGACGCCAATGGGGTACATATCAGGGTCTCCCATCTCGCTTTGCTCCTTCCCACCCTAAATGGTTTACCCCCGTCTGCGCATTTCTTCGCCGGAATCTCACATAAAGTAAAAAAAAATCAACAGCAGACGGGTCCCATATGCAGAGTTTTTAACGGTTTCTCCCGCTTCTCCTTTATTAGAGCATCCTGTTCTGAACATCCACTTTTCATTACAGTTTGAAACATGATATAGATGGAATGGGAAAGGTGAAAACGTGTGGAATACAAATACAATTACCTGAATTTAAAATTTTCTCCTAGCTCCTCAGCATCCTGTGGCGAATTTTCGAATACACCAGAAAATGCGTAGGGATGCCCACCATAAGCATACTCTGAAGACAAAATACTTAGCTTCTACAAAAAAAGACCTAACTAGTACTCACCAACACCATAAACTTCAATTCCTGAATGAAATATTCCAAAACCTATATTCGACGCATAGTCATTCAGCCAATACTGAAAGGAAACGTTGTCAGAAAAGACGTTTAATAAGGAATACTGTTGTTAATGAATATTACTGGAAGGAATGGATGAGAAAATAAGTTTTAGCTTAGATGTTATATCGCCATTCGCCCCTCACGTTCCTGGTTACGCTCCCATACAGCGCAAAACTTCCTTACATGGCTTATCTCGATGTGCATATTATGACGCGAGTCTGTGTGGTATAAAATCTGCACTGAAATAGATCGGAGATGCGCTGCATGAGCAATTCTCGGATCGATTCACGAATTAACGTAGTCGACTTCAGCCCCAAAAGCTCGAAGAAGCAGATTACTTCCGCGGCGACGCGCGAACATAGCATCTTCCAGGTCACTTCTGGTCCTGACACATGGCAGCTCTGCGATGATAAATCATATAGTGGTGCGAATGCCGCGAAAGTGACCCCGCCTGCATCGCCCTCCCCGAAAAGTTCCAGAAGTAACCTTCCGTGAGTAAAGTTCTGCGAAGAGCTACAAAACCGGAACCCAGCTCCACAATGTTGAAGGTAAACCTGGCCATTGTACACTGAGGGCAGCAGTGTTCAGTTACAATGACCCTTCAAAAGAAACCAGCAAATGACTTTTAGGGAAAGAAAACGGGTAACGTCCGTGGGCACAGTGAGGCGTATGCCTGTTCATAGGTCACATTGCATCTGCCTGTTTCGCCTGTAAATGGAGCTCAAAAACGGCGTCTGGCTATCACTCCAGCCTCATTCGGCGCACTTGCGAGTGATGAAGGCTACACTTCTCCGGAGCTGTCCCCACACTTCGCACACGGCAGGAGTCACAGTTTTCCGAGGATAGCGTACAGCGCACCGTTAAAGGACGGAGCACCCTAAATTTCCAATAAGTGTAGAATTAATGCTCCTAGTAGGATAGAATTCGGCACCCCTGAGCAGGCGCTGCGTGACTCTTTTCCAAGAAAGGTATTCTTACAGCGCTCTATCAGGCTGCAGCAGACCAAGCGAAACGCCCACCGCGCCTGCCCGCCTGCAAATAAGCGACTGCTGTTGATGCTGGTACCGCTTCATCTTAAAAGATATGAAACGAAGGGATTGATATGAAGCGGCTGCGGTGCTGCATGGATATATGAGTACATACATGCAGCCGTATCTACCGCAGCAGTATTGGCACGATGCCAACGGGGAACCCTTCTCCGAATTGCTCCCTAGTCAAACAAAGGCTTTCTTGCAGGTTTTTGACTGTTTGCTTTTTCGCCATTTTCCTCCTATATAGCACCCCTGCTATCATTCTGGACAGGGCACCAAATTATCATGCCCAATGCCTTTAAGAATAAAACAGTCTCAGTGAACCTTTGAATAGTTAAATGCAGAGTTCACTCATTGACAAGAAAATCAATTTCAAACAAAGCTGATAATAAAGCTGGCAGGCCTGGAAAACAACTCGGCCGCTCAACTATTTCGTTTCCGGCGTCCCTTGACGCAACATCCCTTCCTTGTTTTCAGTTTTCCCGCGTCAAGTAGAATTGTTTGCCAAAGTTGCACTTATTACATATGATAACCCCTATGACGCGTGTTATGCAGCCTGTCAGGTGTCTTAGCACAAGCGTTGACTTTTTGATAGGAATGTTACTTGTTATTAGTAACCATACCTCCAAGCAGAGGTAAAGTAGTTATAAAATAATCGAAAGCATTTCTTAAATCCCAGCCACCAAGGGAGGTTGGTTCGCGAGATACGGTGAAATTCTTCAGCATAGTACGCAGCTTGCTTGCGAGCCATTTCTCGTCGCCAAACCGGCTGGATATGTTTGTTTAGTCGCGGACAAAAAAATCATCCGGTAGAACGACCGGTCGTGCGATGGTTCACCGCACCATCCACCAAACCACCATCACTACGAGCTGAAGAAATGAACAAAAGTTAAAGGTATCGCAGGGCGCAATCGCATTCTCCCATCACGATAGCTATTACGAGCGAAAAATACAACTGATGATATTCAGACTAGTATTCGAGCCAAAAAGCAAAAATGTCACTTGCGCTCTGTCCTATTTGGAATTGCACTTTATGAACGTTTATTAAACAATGATGAATGCCGCTCCACAACTACACTACTCACAGGGTTACAGTAAAATTACAGCGGCTTCCAGTTCGAGAACGGTGTACTATTTCGTAAAAAAGATTACGTTAAAAGAAATAAGTGTGCGTAGAAGAAAGAAAACTCTGGTGAAAACTTGCCATATCGTAAACATTCAGTCTGACGGGAACCCGTGACATGTCGTGAAGCGAGTGGTTCAGATGTTCCTTTCAAGGTGAGCGACAGTGCGTCGTCGAGCTCACTGCTTCAAGCCGCTAAAACAGCTCGTCTAATCCTGGATGATCTCTTTTAACACAAATTGTAAGTGACGAAACCAGCAGCGCTCAAAAATAACACGACATAGTATGACTTGAACAAAATGCTCAAGATGCCATTCGCTTGCTGGGGGACATTTTGCAAATTTCCGTACACGTGCCGGAAAATTTTGTAAAATCCTGTAAAGCTGTTAAATGGTACCAGTTCCATTTCAGTATGTTCGTGTCCCACTCCCTGAGTCACTTATCCTTGATATCGTCGCAAACAGTAGGGGCGGTTTTGAGAGGAGGAGGGAGCCCACGCGTGGCGCTTTCACACTGGGTGTTTTGTTCCCAGATCGATCACCAGCCAATCACCATTGGTACTGCAAGGCCGCCGCAGCTTTCATTCCGCCCCGACTGATTGCGACGTTAGCAACTATATTAATAAATCTCTAGGGCTAAATCAAAGGACATTATGAATTTCCGGTCAAACAC